TTCTTCTTCTTCTTCTTCTTCTTCTTCTTCTTCTTCTTTTCCTTTTCATTTTCCTTTTCCTTTTCCTTTTTCTTCTTCTTCTTCTTCTTGTTCTTCATCATCATCATCATCATCATCATCATCCTCATTATCATCACCAGCTTCTTCTTCTTCTTCTTCTTTTCCTCTTCCTTTTTCTTTTTCTTCTTCTTCTTGTTCTTCTTTTCAAGAGAGGGAACCTCGTGGCAGATGTCCTCTCATCAAACCACAGGTGAAGAACGGGGAGGAGAAGAAGGTAGAGGACTTGGAAGACAAGGACGACGTGAAGCAGAAGAAGAAGCAGCACGCGCACTCGAAGCAGCAAGGGAGGAAAACGAACGGGAAAGAGAAGGAGAAGAACGAGGAGCGATTGCCATTGCCAGCTTCCTCAGGGGTAGCCAACCGTGATTGGTCGATCATGATTCACGAAGCATTAGTAGCCGTTCTCAGTTTTCTGAGTGTGCGAGATCGAATCCTCGCCGGTAGCACGTGCAAGAGCTGGCATTGCGCGTTCCTGGATCCTTGGTGCTGGCAGGAAGCTAGCGTTCTTCGGCGGTCCAGATGGGACGGGGACGGCTGTGTCATCGCGCGTTCCATAGCTACTCGGAGTAAAGGTCAACTTCGCAAACTTTCCGCACAGTGGATTGAGTTTTGGCACTTCGACGAGATGATATTACACGATCAGTGCCCACTGTTGGAGGAGCTGCGATTCATGTCGAGCTTTGAGATCGAAGGCATGCCACGAAAGTGGTTCGCCGCAGGGGCTCTATGCGGACTTCGGGTTCTCGAAGTGCAAGAATTCTACTTCGAGGAAGGGGAAGAGATTCTTCGGGGTGCAGTAACGGAATACCGCTCGTCCATGGCAGACGCTCTCGTCATCGCCATAGCCAAAGGATGCCCTCAGCTTTCTGTTTTGTTGCTGAATGGTCTTCACACAGGGATAACGGACAAGGCGGTGCGTGGAATCGAGCAGTTTCTGCCAAGGCTGGAGAGGCTGGGAATATGTGGCAGTTCCATCACCGATGGGGGATTGGCTTTGATCGGGAAGAAACTCGAAAGTCTGCGTGAGCTAAGGGTACAGTACTGTACACTCATGACGGCGCGGGGGGTCCTGGAGTTGGCGGCCGAACGCGAGGATCTAGTGGTTATTGGGCAGGTCGGTCCTGTGGGTTATCTTCCGAATCGTATGTGTGACGACGATGATTGGTGCGGTGTATGCTGGTGGGCAGACTAATATGCTGCCTGTGGATTTGGCCATACCATAATTACTCTGATAAGTATGACGTGGAGTGCTGGGAGGCAGGGATGCTGGTGGGCAGAGTTATATGCTAAGTGGGTGAACTGCTGACATACCTGTCTCTCATATTCCAATCGTTGATGTTAATGACACGAGAGATTGGTTGAATTCGGAGATCCTTGATTAATATGAATGCTTTCGGAGCTCCTTGATTAATAATATGAATGCGGGTACGTGCCATGAGTTATGGTAACTGCGCAGGGGCCATGCTGAGGGCGTGGTTGATATCGATAAAACTGGCATGGCAGTCGTTATTTCATGGTACCGTTTTTTATATATATATATATATATATATATATATATATATATATATCGTATGTATATATATATATATGATGAGTCGGTGAAACTCCGACGAAACAGTTTGTCACAGCCCCTCGTTTGCTGTCCTCTGCTCTCTCTCTGCCTACGGTTTACCGGGAAGTTCTATTTGTGACGATATATATATCGTCACAAATATATAGGTTGTTAATGTGGACCGTCACTCGATTGATTTTAGTGTGGCATCGTTGGGCAGGGGCAAGGCATCGTTGCGCAGGGGCCATGCTAAGGGCCTTGTTGCACTACTCGCCATCGGCCAAGTTTGGCAAGTAGTAGGTGTAGTACGCGGTGCGAGGAAACCTGTCAGATGTTTTGCCCAATTTCCTTTCTCAGGGCCTAGTTGCACTGCAATTCGTGGCGGATGTGCGGAGAGTAAGGGCCTCGGCACACCACACCAGTGTCGAAACCACGATTTTCGATAATTTCTCTTGGCCACACAGGCTGTCGAAATTGGAGACGGGAAGAAAATTTGCAAGTTGTCAGAGAACGCTTCTCGGCACCTGTTGTAGAATCCCCAGCCTCCTACAGTAACTCCGAAGTTTTCGACAGTCCGGCCCCGCTGTCCACTTCTCTTCCAAATTGGTGAGTGGGTGCGCCGTAGACTTCTCTTCGAAATTGGTGAGTGTGCTTGTCGCGCCCCTGAGTACAGTAGTGCTTGTCGTACCCTCAGGGGCGTTCGGCTGGCGTTCGGCTTCTTCCATCTTGCTTTCACAAGTTCGTGCACTCTTCAGTGCTGTGTGGCGACGGGGGGGGGGAACTGTAGAATGGAGGCTGTGGAATTTGTACTGACAGCCGTAGATTTTTTTTGCCTTTCGACTGTGACACCAATGTCCAAAACGGCATTTTTGACATTTTCTCCTCGCCACACAGCACGTTGAAATCTGAGATGAGAAAAACATTCAGGAGATGAGAAAGAAATTCAGGAGCTGTCAGAGAAAGGGTTTCGACACCTCCTCTCGAGCAGGGCTCGTTTCCACTTCAGGCCTGCAACTTGGACATTTTCAACAGTCCTCCAATGGGATGCGGAGTTCTTGCCCGAATGTGGAAAAGGGGAAAGGATCAAGGCTTGTCCTATCTTCGCCCCAGTTTGTCTCTTTTGTGCGTAAGACTTGTGAATTCTCCACTTCGATATGGGGCCTAGTTGCACTACTCGCCACGGATGCGTGGAGAGTGAAAAAACTGAGAATCTCGTCGAACTCGAGTCGTGGTTGCACTTACTCGCCATTATATTTCTTCTACAGAGAAGTTTTTCTTTTTTTGTCTACCTGATGTCGACTCGTGAAGCCCTGCACTCTCCAGAAAGCTGTTTTGTGGAGAGGTCCGAGGACCACTCTCCACAAAACCGCCGTGCACAGGCGGGGAAACAGAATTCACTCTCCACAACTTGTGTCGACGGTGTGGCGAGCAGTCTGACACATTTTGCATTTGTCAAGTTTGGCGAGTAAGTGCAACCAGGCACCTACTCGCCAAACTTGGCCTATGGAGAGTAGTGCAACTAGGCCCATTGTTTTTATTTTTTTTATATTTTTTTTAAAACACATCCCTCCTGCCAGTGCTAGTGCTGCTGATACGAGCAGTCACCACTAGCACCCAGGTGGAGGCTCCATCTATTGGTGGGGAGCATCACCTGCTGGAAACCGGGTCCAGCCTCCCACATACAGAGTCAATAAAAAAAAAGGGGGGATGTTTGAGAAGTGTGATTATGAGGCCTGCCAGCATTGATTGCCCTGTCTCCAGGGGATTAACTGGGCAGGTGTGTGTGTCCAGAGTCATAGTGATGTAGCCCTTGTCTTCCGTATCTCTTCACCCCCCAGAAGGGGGCGCCAGATGACCCAATACGCGCTGACACTTCTTCAGGAAGTACAATGTGCAATGTGCAACTACGCCCATGATGTGTGGCGAAGATGTTTTTTTTGTCAAAAGAGGGAATGTGGAGAAGTTCCTGATATATGTCAAATGCCGTGATGTTTGGACGTTGGCGTGGTGAGGCCCTGAAAAAAAAACAAAATAGTGTGTAAAGAGAGGCCTGGTTGCACTTACTCCCCTCTATATTTCTTCCACAGAAAAGTTAAAAATGTCGGCCTGACCTCCATTTGTGAAGCCGTCAGCTCGCCAAGAAGTTGTTTTGTGGAAAGGCAGTAGCCAGTCCGGAACTCGCCGCATGGCCTAGTTGCACTACTCGCCACACGGCACAAATCGTGGCGGTTTTGTGGAGAGTGAAATTTTGCCGATTTGTGGCGATTCGGTGTCGTGGTTGCACTTGTGGAGAGTGGAATTTTGCCGATTTGTGGCGATTCGGTGCCGTGGTTGCACCTACTGGCCACCATCTGTTCAGCCCGAAATTGTGTCCCGGCCATCTAGCCGCGGGCATTGTCCTGGCGAGTAGCTGCAACCACGACAACTCTCGCGGAGTCTCGCCACACTTTTCCCCTGGTACCCATGGGAACGAGTCCAGGGTCCTATCGGCCTGCCTCCACGGTAGTCTCATATTCCCAAGACTTGCGAGATTTTTATTTTGTTCGAGTGTACTTCAACGCAGTCCTGTCCAGATAACATCCCGGAGTCTTAGTAGCGCCGGTCGGCCTCAAGTGTTCCCCTTCCTTCTGCTTCCCGCCTGCTCTCCCCCTACTTCTGCTGTTCTTCCACTTGCCTTGCAACGGCTCTCCCCCTCCTTGCATGGCCGGCTCTCTCCACATGGCGTGTCCCAGCATCCACCCGCTCACCAGCGGCAAGCCCGCTTTCACTTCGCAGTACCACTGCTCTCCTTCCACGGCGCCCCCATCCCGCTTCCCAAGGTATCACTTCACAGTACTACTTTCACTTGCCCGGCGCTCCTTCCACGGCGCTCCCATCCCACTTCCCAAGGTATCCTTGCACCTGGGTGGAGCTTCCCCCCCCTCCCCTCCCACTCTCTTGGCCTGC